CACTCTATTGCCCAGGCTGGAGTGCAGTGGCACGATCTCGGCTGGCTGCAACCTCTGCCTTCTGGGTTCAGGTGATTCTTCTGCCTCAGCCTCCTGAGTAGCTGGGACTATAGATGTGCCCCACGATGCCCAGCTAATTTTTGTATTTTTAGTAGAGAGGGGGTTTCACCATATTGGCCAGACTGGTCTTGAACTCCTGACCTCGTGATCCACCAGCCTCGGCCTGCCAAAGTGCTGGGATTACAGGAATGTCTTCTTAAAGGGAGTTTTCTTTCCTCCACATTATTTTTTGTAAGTAGGCTTTATTATTTGGGGCACTTTTTTAGAGCGATAACCTTTTTTATTATTAATACATAATAGTTGTACATATTTTGGGGATACATATATTTTGATATATGCATACGTATATCAACCAAACCAGGGCAATTGGGACATCCATCATCACATTCACCCCGTCTTTAGGTCGACATCATTCCAATTCCTCTCCTCCAGCAATACAACTAATTATCGTTAACTACAGTCACCCTACTACTGTTCAAGCCAACACCAGACCTTATTATTCCTTCTAAGTGTATTTTTGTATCCATTAACCAACTTCATCTCGTCCTTTCCCCACACTCTTCCCAGCTCCTGGTAACTAGCAGTCAACTTGCTACCTCCGTGAGATGCCTGTTCTTAGCTCTGCTTATGCGTGAGATCATGCAGTATTTGTCTTTCTGCGTGTGGTTTGTTTCACTTAACATACTATCCTACAGTTCCATCCACGTTCCTGCTAGTGACAGGATTTCATTATTTTTTATGGCCATTAGTATTCTACTGCATAAATATACCACATTTTCTTTATCCACTTATCTACTGATGGGCACTCAGGTTGACTCCATTATCTTGGCTATTGTAAATAGTGCTGCAATGAACGTGAGACGGGAGACATCTCTTTGATATGCTCATTTCCTTTCTTGTGCGTATATACCCAGCAGTGGGGTTGCTGGACCATATGGTAAGTCTGTTTTTAGTTTTTTTAAGAACGCCCATACTTTTCTCTATAGTAGCTATACTGATTTACATTCTCACCAGCAGTATATAAGCATCCCCGTTCCCTGCGTTCTCACCATTTGTTATTTTTTGTTTTTTTAATAAAAGTCACTTTAACTGGAGGTGATTCCCTCCAAATTATTTTATTGACTGCATACTTAACAAATCTGACTTTAGATTTCCGTCTGAGTTGGGTGAGGGGCAATGTCTTAAATACATTTCAGATTGTACTCCAGTCTGGATGGATTTTGTAGACACACAGTCTGAAATGTATTTAAGTGATTGTCGCTCACTCATGTCAGATAGGTGATTTGAGTTTAGAAATTTGGCTTAGTTTGAGAATCTTGGCGTGTCTCTCCAACCCAGAAAATGCTTCCGTTTTGTTGCGTGCGTACCAATTCCCTTAGACTCTGTGGATTCTCACATATTTGATGTGCACTGCCTTCATTTTTCATTAACATTTGTTTTTCTCTGTTGCAACGCTATCATTAGAGAAATGGATTCTGGACACAATTGCTCTGAATTTTCTCCATTATAAAATCTCAGAAGCAGGGATCCCGTTTTACTGTCTTTGTCTCTCCCTTAACAGATTCCTGTACTAGGAGAGAGGGACAAATCCCATCCATTCTTGGCCTGGAGGTGCTGATGCCGCAGGAAGAGACAGACAGCCTGTTTTTACTTCAAACTTGTGCCAAGGGAATCAGATGGACTGAGACATGAATTGATTGACATTTGCCATTATTCACCACAAAATGCCTTCTTAGAGAATTACACTTGGAAATGGTCATGAAATGTTCGTCTTGTGCCTCGATCTCTGGCACTAACCAGTGCTGTTGCCCGGTGCTAACACAGTCACTCACTCTTTCTGCTGGAGACTGGCTTCACTTTATTGAACCTGTGTTTTGAGTTCATTAAGGTGCAGGACTACATGGGTCTGTGAGAGCAGTTTCACAACTGCAAATGTTTAAGGTATTGACTTCCAATCTATGCTGGTGGGAGGCTGAGGACTTGGATATTCCAGTCATTGGGCATCTGTTTCATAGTGGAGAGGACTGGATTCAACAGCTTTTCATACAAATCCTAGATTTCTTGAAAGTACTAAGGGTGCTGACAAGTCCCGCTTTTGATGACGGATCACTGTTTAATATTTGGATTATAACTAGGGATGCAAAAATTGAATAAAATGCCTATGACAAAATTACCATTCTTATGTATTTTTTGTAAATATTTCTTGGAGTATATATCAAAAGGAAACAGAATGGAAATGATCCTGTGCACTGCTAGCATTGTAGTCATATGAAAATGATCCATCCCTGCTAACGTTGTAACCATATGAACACAGCACATTGAGACGGAAAGGAAAGTGGAGGAGAAGAAGGTGGGCACACTAAAATAGTTTCACTAAGTTTATCTGTTTGATAATAATGTATCAAATTATTTATGTTTTGAACAATTGTGTACTGTCGAGATGATTTTTCTTAAACACTGAGAGACTCCCCAAAGGTATGTTTAAATTTCAAATGTAGACTTTTTTTGCTGAGAAGGATGACAAAACGCTATTAAACATGCAATAGATAAATTATGGTATGGTGAAATTGCAAGGCAAATGGGGAATGCAAATAGGCATTCACGAAGAAAAAAATCATCTGAAACATCGCACTGTCGAAAAATTTGGTCATGTATTTTATGAACTGATTATACTATCATATTGATATTCCAGAAGGCAACTTTAAAAGAATGACGTGAGGATTTTGATTTTTAAAAAGTCCTATATTGGGATTTGAATCTTTGCAACTATTTTAACTGAAAATAAAAATATTTTAGATAGCTGTAAAACATGCGAGGTTCTCAAAGATTCTTTTAGAGGACCCATGCAGGAAAAAAGGTGGTGGGCAGGGACAAAGCCGTTCTGGTCGAGGATCTTCGAGGCGACGTTTCCTTCCCGATCCCAGGCACGCGACAGGTTCCATTTGGAAAGATGGCTTGGGAGGAAAAATCATTTTTCATTGAATTTTATTAAAAAATTCTCATTTAACTTAATTGAATTTTTATTCCCTACTGGAAATGGTGACACAAACGCTCAATACTTCTAATTTTCACAACTGTTTGAGAAAGCAATTACTAGAAATCTCGTTCTCCTACACAAGAAAGACAAGTCAGGAAAAGGTAAACGATGCCCTTTCCAGAGCGAACACTTTTCGTGCCAAAGAGCTTTCCTGCGCCAAAATGGCACTCCCCAAGTAAATGCCATGAATTTGGAGGCGGGAGAAAGAAATTCTGTGTTGTTAATACTTCTCAGGAAAGAATGTGGCTGAAGAGGAAGGCAGCTACATTTGCTCGGAAAAAGGGAATTCTTTTCCTCCTAAATTAATCCCTTTCCCCACCCCCACTCCCATAAGCTGGAGTCGCTTATCACATCCGGCTCCCGCGCGCAGGGCGCTGCTTTGTCGCCGTGTTTCGATTCGGTATCAAACATCCTGCCATCGCAGTATCCTGCCAGGAAAACATCCTCCTGGAATGCTCATCGCTTAAATCTAAACATGTCTGTCTGGTCCAGGCAGGGATAGAAATGTCTTAAGCGAACGCAGGGCCAGGCACCACCGCCAGGGGAACGTGACAACACTGATGGCCTCAGAGCCGGCGGTCTTGCGCCACGTCCGGCCTCACCTCATGGGGTGCGGGTAGGAATGGGGAGGTTGGCACGGGTCCTTTTGGGAGAGGTGACCTGCATCCCTCACCTGCACGGCGCACGTCAAGCTCAGTTCTACCCGGCCTTGAATCCGGCACAAGCATTCAACGCCCAGAAATGCATCACTTGCTTATAAAAGACATTTGGAACTAGAGTCCTACTTCGATTCGTAGTGTTAATAGCTTTGCGCGAACGCGGGGGTGGAGATGGGGTCCCTGATCGCCTCCCAACATTACTGAGTTAAATCATCTGAGCACGGTTTCTACCACAGATTTCTGCAACGAGCAGTTTTTCTCGTTCTCTACCAGCGTGCGCGCGCGCACAAACACACACACACACACACACACTCGACTCAGACGGGGCCGCACCCGGCAACCGCCTGGGGTGCATGGAGATATATTAGGTTACATAACCTTTAACCGTGTTCAAAACCCTTTCTCGATCTCGTGGGTGGCTCTGAAAAGAGCCTTTGGGTTCGGGGCGCCGGGGCGCGCCTCACTTGGAGCTGGTGTACTTGGTGACGGCCTTCGTGCCCTCGGACACGGCGTGCTTCGCCAGCTCACCGGGCAGCAGCAGGCGCACGGCCGTCTGCACCTCGCGAGACGTGATGGTGGAGCGCTTGTTGTAGTGCGCCAGGCGGGAGGCCTCGCTGGCGATGCGCTCGAAGATGTCATTGACGAAGGAGTTCATGATGCCCATGGCCTTGGACGAGATGCCGGTGTCGGGATGCACCTGCTTCAGCACCTTGTAGACGTAGATGGAGTAGCTCTCCTTGCGGCCGCGCTTGCGCTTCTTGCCGTCCTTCTTCTGCGCCTTGGTGACGGCCTTTTTGGAGCCCTTCTTGGGCGCAGGAGCCGACTTGGAGGGGTCTGGCATGGTGGCTGTGTCTCTCCGAACAGAAACGCGCGGCGCTCCGAGTAACTCTATTTGTACGTTTTGTATTCAAATGAAGGCTCAGGATTTGCTCACTTCTGATTGGCTCAAACTTTGATACGTCACCTCTGGGAAAGGAATATGCAAATTAGGAGGGGCCAGTTCTTTATTTGATTGGCTGCCATAGCCATCCAATCGAACGCCGCGGTCTAGCCTACCTCCGTACCATACATAAGGGCTCGCTGGGCTTCACCGCCCTCTTGTTTTCAGTCTCGCTTTTCCGTTCTTGTAGTCTACTGACTTTGAATCGGACATGTCTGGCCGCGGTAAGCAGGGCGGCAAGGCGCGTGCCAAGGCCAAGTCGCGCTCGTCGCGCGCGGGGCTGCAGTTCCCTGTGGGCCGCGTGCACCGGTTGCTCCGCAAGGGCAACTATTCCGAGCGCGTGGGCGCGGGCGCCCCGGTCTATCTGGCCGCGGTGCTGGAGTACCTGACCGCCGAGATCCTGGAGCTGGCTGGCAACGCGGCGCGCGATAACAAGAAGACGCGCATCATCCCGCGCCACCTGCAGCTGGCCATCCGCAACGACGAGGAGCTCAACAAGCTGCTGGGCCGCGTGACCATCGCGCAGGGCGGTGTCCTCCCCAACATCCAGGCCGTGCTGCTGCCCAAGAAGACGGAGAGCCACCACAAGGCCAAGGGCAAGTGAGGCCGCCCGCCGCCCCCCGGGACCCTTTGATGGACACTAAAGGCTCTTTTCAGAGCCACCCATCGTTTCGTGAAAAGAGCCGCACTGAGCCTGCAGTTCTTATAGGCCGGAGGCCTGGTCACCTTCGGCTCAAGAATGAGCGAGTTGGCCATGGGGAAAGGCGCAACCGAGACCCTGGGGACTGATTGGGCTGCATACTCTGGAGGTGGGCAACGTGTTCCGTTAACGGCAGGAAACCCTTGCCCACAGGTGGCCACCCCTTGCTCTTCAGTCCCACCCAAAACCTAGTGGGGTTTTAATACGCTCACCATAGAGGTGTCTTCATAATTACTAGGGACAAGTTCTCTTGTCTCCGGCAAAGATCCCGTGTGGTTGTCCAATACAGAATGCATTTTCTTATTGATTTATCTGATATTAAAAGTTACTTATAATCTGTAAGTAATTTGCAGTTTAATTCTGATGGGTAAGTCTATAGATTTCTCTTTCAATTGCCAAGTCTTAACAGAATGTGAGCTCCACCGGAGTTATGATTTAATTTATTTGGCTGGGAATTTTAAAGGTCATGGGAAAGGTTCAGTACTTAAAA